ATAATCTGTTTATTTGGAATTAAGCAACAATTCTACCCCCATAAAAAACAACATTGCCACAGTCACATGTATCCGTTTTAGAGAAAACTGCCATGAAACATGCTACGAGTAACACAAAATTTAATTGTGCAACCATTTTGTATCCACAGCTGTTTTTTTTTTGTTTTTGTTTCATGAGACTCTGTGTAACGAACCCGCATCTACAAAGGTGAAACAATAATATTGCTTATAGCGCCTCTTGTGGACATTTCAGCTGAAAAGTGCAGCAAAATGTGCCATATTTCAGGTTTTGCAAAAACGTAGACAGATAATATCACACCTCTCCTCTCCTCCACAAGCCCCATGACATGTACTTTCAGCATTTTAAATAAATCAAAACTTACATGTTGCTGTCAAAATTGCGTCACCAGTGTAGATGCATGAATAGATTACATCTCTGTTCCTGGTTTCAAAGAAAGGTGTTCTGCAGTGCATGTTGAGACAGGTTTTATTCCATATAGTGCTGTCTTCTGCATATAAGAGCCTGTTTTTCTGAACGGTTGTCCCCAATGGATTTCAGTTTTCTTTTCCAATAATGGAGGATCAGATCGGAGCATTGTCACAAACACATTTCCCGGCAAATAGATAACTTGTGTTTCAAGTAAACAATGGGTTAGCAAAATTTCCACGCTTTTTAACTGATGAGTTTCCAGTCGTTCATAAGTAGAATTGTGAATGAAATAATCTTTAAATAACCTTTAAAATAATCACATTTTGTTGCTTTGCAGTCTGAAATGAAGACACCGTTTTATTCATTTCTATGATTAGGCCTGGAAATAACACTCAAATTCCCTGATATTTTCAGGTTTTCCATGATGGACCTAAACCACTTTGTTGTGCACAATCAAAGCTTGCACAATGTTTATTGATAATCTGCTTAAAAATGAACGTTTTTCACTTTGCTGTGCATATGTTTCACCACAAGGTGCATGTTGTAAGAGGCCATTAAGTACAACAGGCTAAGAGAAAAATGTGCTGTATACGCATCTTCACCAACTGCTGTTTAGTTCCACTAAAGTGAAACTCTTGTGTCAGCATGAACAGTGAGAGCACTTTCACTTTCATTTCTAGTGCATAAGCTACCTTGCAACTTTCACCATAACAACACGTCACAAGGTTGCCATGATCGGGGAACCTTCAGTGCCTGAGGGAAATGAACATAATTCAACTGCAACAGAACAATGCATCTAATCCTTCTGATAAAATAATACTTTTCTGTTACAGCAGGGTGATTTTTTTTCTCGTCATACTTCTCTGCTTCTTGTACTCGTTATGTGTTGTATTCTATTTTTCATTGTTCATTTTTTATAATTATTTAAATACCATAATAACTGAATTTTCAGTTTTAGAAAGTAGTTCAAACAAAACTATACATTTCGTAGTAGCGCATCAGCTATTGCTAACCAAAAAAAAATAAAATAAAATTGAATTTCTCATTTATTTAGTTGAAGTTGAACTGAATAAACCAAAACTAAAAATTTTCAGTTTTAGAAAGTAGTTCAAACAAAACTATACATTTCGTAGTAGCGCATCAGCTATTGCTAACTAAAAAAAATAAAATAAAATTGAATTTCTCATTTATTTAGTTGAAGTTGAACTGAATAAACCAAAACTAAAGATATATACACATACATACAAAAATTTATAAAAGTGACAACAACCACACAAAACATTTTACTAAAATCTTAACTAAAATTAAAATGACAATATATAAAAATTGAATCTAATTTAAAATATTAACAAAAACTATAATAGTATATCAATAGTACATAAAAACCAATGGCATGCATCAGCATATGTGCATATATAGCCTTTCCCACCACAAATGTGGATGTTTCTTAAAACACTTTGTAATTCAAATAAATAACTTCTATAAAAAAAATAAAATCTACCATTGCTCTTGGTATTAGTTTAACAAACAAACTTTTTTGTTTCTTGTTTTGTACTCCTGTGCATGTTTTGATTTGTGTCTGTTTTTATACTTGTATGTAGTTTTGCTTTTTGTTGTATTTTCCGCATTATTCAATCATAACATTGCTAAGCAGGGAAGTAAATAAATGTCAACTTCATTTTTAAAAGAAAATAAATAATCAGGGAAAATAACAGAAATCATATTTAAATATGAACAAAGTTGCAACAGTGCTCTAATGTCCCGCCCACAGTATCAGTTAAACGCACCCACACTTTCCACTGACAGGAACTTCCTCAAAGAATACCAGAAATTGGGCATCACAAAAAAAGATGCCCCGTTTCATTTTCACCCTACCTGACAGGTGTGGTCATTGTTTCTGGTCTGTTTCATTTTGACCCAGTCTGACAGGTGTGGAATGCCAGGTGTCACTTCTCAAGGTATAAAAGGCAAAGCACAATGTCACATCAGCATCTCACAGCATCTCAGCTTCAGCTACACTCACTGGAAAACAGGTGAGAACGTCTGACAACAAATGTTATATATATATATATACCGTATGTGTTTTTTTATATATATATATATATGTGTGTGTGTGTGTGTGTGTGTGCGCGTGTGTGTGCGATTCTCACTTTTTTTACTAATGAAGATTTATTCCATGATTTCAGAAAAAAAAATGGTCTGGATTAAATTCACCATCATTTGCACATTCATATCTCTGCTGGAAGCCCATAAGGAGTGCGCAAGACACATACAATGGGCTCATCTTATTCAGTCTTTAAATTCAATGGTAAATGTTCTTAAAACAACATAACTCGTAACTAATGTATCTGAGTGAATGAATGAACGAACGAACAAGTCAATGAACTGTATAAAACACATATGCTTTGTGCTTTCAAAGGGCACTGCGATATCTCATGATTGTGCATTTGATTATGAAGAAGCCAGTCTGTGTGATCTACGTCACCTGGCCAATAGGGTTTGTACATCTGTCTTCCTTCTATATGTTGATAAAAAGAGGTTTGATATAAAGTAAAAAAAAGAAATTTAAAGATTAATGTTTTGCTCTTCACAGGTGGATCATAATGCAATCCTTCTGGTCGACATTGTCAAGAAAACAGAAACAATGTACAAGAAGAATCCAAACCCCCAGACGTTTATCGAGGCCCTTCATCACACCCATCATACTCTGAGCAACTGTGTAAGAATCACAAATGTGCTATTATAAAGTATAATACAGCCACACAGCTCATTATCAACACGATAATCATGTTGCCTGTGTTTTGTCGGTAGGTTCATCACTCTGACAATGCTGAAAATGAGCATGTGACCACATGCTTCAATAAACTAGAAGCTTTTCTTAAGAAAAAGGTAAGATCATAAAGTATTTATCAGTCTGTCTATCTTTCTATGTATCTATCCATATTGATGTCTATATATTTCTATTTTTACAGTCCCACTCACAGTGTGCATGGGAAATCATTAATTCAAAAGTGAGGGAGGTTCTTCAGAGGCTGGAGAAACACTCCGTCAGAAGGCGGCGTTAGAGACTTTATTATGCATGCATATATTTTATTGCAAATAAGGTATGCCATTTTATAAGCTCGATGGACATATGTATTTTTAAGAAATGCACATTAGATACAAAACGTTTCAAATTCATGATTTATTGAGTCGTGAACAGATTATTGCTGTGTGAGATAATGTTGATCGATATGTAGTAGAAGAAATATAGATTTTTTTTCTAATAAAATTGTTATGAAATGCAATACTGTAACGCACAAAATGTGAGATTGTGAATGTGGATTCTTTAATATTTATATGTTTTACTGTTAAAAGTTTTCTTTGCTACTGTATGTCTATGATATGAACTTCTTATTTATTTGTACTAATGCTACACTCTAAAAAATGCTGGGTTAAAAAGGGACAAACCCAGCTATTGGGTTGTTTTGACCCTGCGGTTGGGTTCAACACTACCCAACCGCTGGGGGTCAAAACATCCCAACCGCTGGGGGTCAAAACATCCCAACCGCTGGGGGGTCAAAACATCCCAACCGCTGGGGGGTCAAAACATCCCAACCGCTGGGGGGTCAAAACATCCCAACCGCTGGGGGGTCAAAACATCCCAACCGCTGGGGGGTCAAAACATCCCAACCGCTGGGGGGTCAAAACATCCCAACCGCTGGGGGGTCAAAACATCCCAACCGCTGGGGGGTCAAAACATCCCAACCGCTGGGGGTCAAAACACCCCAACCGCTGGGGGTCAAAACATCCCAACCGCTGGGGGTCAAAACACCCCAACCGCTGGGGGTCAAAACATCCCAACCGCTGGGGGTCAAAACACCCCAACCGCTGGGGGTCAAACCGCTGGGTTTGTCCCTTTTTAACCCAGCGTTTTTTTAGAGTGTACCTAATGTTACTGTTCTTGAACAAACATAATAAATAAACTAATAAAACCACCATTCTGTGTTTTAAGTAAAATACTTTGAATAATACAAAAAATCTAAATCTCTTTAAAAAATCTAAAGCACACATCATTGAAAAAGTTCAGTGTCATTTGTTCATTTAGGGTAAATCAGAATTAGATTTGCATTCTTAGACACATGTATTCTTTTCAAGAAATCATATTGTCTGAAAATGACCGCATGATGCTTCAACAATGGCTTTTCCTTGCAGTTTTCCACACAAACCAACAGACGGCAGCATAGCTACTATAAAAATAACGGTTGCAAAGCTACTAAAATGAGTAGCACGAAGTTCATTTTACTAACTCATTAAGTAATTAAAAGCACACACATTTACTGATGACGGAAATAAACTTACGGTCAACTGAGTTGCAACGATCTTGCTCTCTGACAGCATCTCACAGTTTCCGGAAATACAAGCCGGACCATATTTGGCAAATGCAAACGTATCGTCCCGCCTACATCATCTTCCTACACGGAAACGTCGCGGATTCCGACAAGAACGCGCGATCCGATCAGCCATTGGCTGAGAGAGCTGTCAGTCACAGATCTGGGATACTATTGGAGGAGGCGCGGCAGAGGAGACCGCTGGAGAGAGAAGAGGAGCGGGGAGGACAGAGTCCCCGAACCGGCACAGTTCCATACAGACTTTAATTTATTCATTATTATATTTGAACATATTGTAAGTATTAAAAACGGGAAAATGGCTCAGACAGACAACAAGAAGTTCTTTGAGAACCTGTCGGGCGCTGGGAAAGCCATAGCGGTGCTGACGAGCGGAGGAGATGCGCAAGGTACATGACTCCTGAAGAGCACACTGCTATCATTCTGACATCTCATGCTCATTTTCTTTTAAAAGGTATAACGTTATTGAATCACTGTGTTCAGAATGATCAGCATAGTTTCACTCTGACATATGATGTGCGTTCTGTTACAGTGTTGCGCGATGTTCACGGTTACCAGCGTTACACTGGCTGTTCTGCCAGTATATCACGCGTACTGTGTAAATGCATCCTCATACTTAGTTTTGCTTTTCGCCAGGATGGATGCAATTGCCTCTGAAGTGTCCAAAGTGATGGAAATGTAACGTTAGCCACGAGATAATCACAAGGTCACAGCTTTTGCGATGTGATACATGGTTATCACCACTGCGTTCTGCTCGGACGGGTTCATAGAAATGCACGCTGAGGAGAATGAGCATGAAGCAGGTCACGCTAAATAGAGCTTTCATTTCTGTCATTATGTTTCCAGATAGCAGGCAGCTTTACTTTACGTAGGTGTTCAGGCGAATGAATGACATTTATTCCGGTATCAATACATGTCACTGCATTGCGGAATCATGTGACCTTCACGAATAGCACGTAGCGTGTCTTCAGTCTCCATCCAGCCTGAAAGATTATGATGCTTGCTTATGTTTGCTTTACATTAACCGTCATCTTTGTGTTACCTCATACCACATGCTGCTACCTCATTCTGGCTGTCAATCATCGAAATTAGGATTTTGCGTCTTCATCAACCAGGAAGTTGCTTCGCGTTTCATAGTGGCTTTCTCGTGTGCAAATGCTTTAAAGGTCGTCGTTTCTTCAGTAAGTGATGTGTTTTGTGAAGAAGGGGTGAATTCATGCGGTTTCGGGGTGTTGGAAGCCTGAAGGATGCGTACGTGAGGAGCCGCTGCGCGCGTTTGAGACGAAGAGTTACGTCACGGGAAAATGAGTCATGTGACCAACTGTAAAAGTGCAGTTGTTACCTTAAGAGGGTTCTACCTTTAGTGTGACTTTTGTGAATCTAGTCAGGTTGATTTAGTCGTATTAAACAACATTTCTGTCTTGAATAAAAACAAGTTCGTGTAGATGTGCACATGCACACTTTTACCTTTACTTCAAAGACTAGTAGTTCATTTAGGCAAATGCTAGTTAGGGATGGGCAATACCCCTTATTTTGTTTTTCGAAACGATACCGATATTTTTCAAGGCAGTATTGTCGATATCGATACCGATTCGATACTTCTGCACTAAACTTTTCAATTATGAAATGTATTAAATTATTAAAGGGGTCATATGATGCGATTTCAATTTTTCCTTTCTCTTTGGAGTGTTACAAGCTCTTGGTGCATAAAGAAGATCTGTAAAGTTGCAACGACTAAAGTCTCAAATCCAAAGAGATATTCTTTATAAAAGTTAAGAGTTAGCCACGCCCCCTAAAACGACTCGTTCTAACACGCCCCCACATGTCTACATCACTATGTGGGAAGATTTGCATAACCCCGCCCAAATGTTCACGCAAAGAAAGAAGGCGTAACTTTTATTCTCGCTGTCGTATTGTTGCCGCCGCCATGTCGTGAAGGCACTGTGTGTTTCGTTGTGAAAGCGAAACTACTTTGTTTGTCCTTCCAAAAGAGGATGATATCCGCTTCGTCATGCCTGGAGCTGATCCGGAGTCCAGCCCGCCTCTGCTCACTCTATCCCGGCCTCAGC